GGGTATTAACATCCCCGTCCCCGCCCCCGCCCCCGATTTTATCAATCGGGGAAAACCCGAACCCGATAAACACGGGTTTTCCCCATCCAAATCGGGACGGGTTCGGCGCGGGTACCCACGGGGACGGGTTAGATTGCCATGCCTAGTTCAAACTACCATTTATCATAATATTTAATGGAGGTAATTTGAATCCAAAACAACTAAACCATTGAACACATCCTCCAAACATTACCTGCAGCAAATCCAAGGCTCTTGAGAAAGTAGCTTCAGAATCGTCACAGAATTCCATGTATATGGGACAGACTCCTTGATACAAAGCGAGCTTCTGCCGTACCCTCTTCCTGCATGACCAGAAAAATTAGGTAGATAAGAAGTCTGTCATAGTATACAAGCAGATATGCATGCAAATTGATTCTCATTTTTTAGATGCCAACGAATCAAAAGCAGAACAGTTGTGAATTGTGATTCAATAAAGAAGCTGATTCGTCAAATAGGTGACCAGTAAAGCAATTTTGTATTGTTTGGTACTACATATACAGGCATTCAACCAAGAAAATGAGAACTTCAAGCTAATATTTCAACAAATAAGGGAAAATATCCGCATAATTTTATTTTTTTAAGGAGGTCTTGTTATCAATAAGAGAAAGGGTACAAAAGGAACTCACTCATCTGTAAAAGCAAATATGGAGCCAGAAGGACGAAAATGGCTCAGAAGGCTAGCCATGAAACCCGTTCTAGTGAAGACGACGGTTGAGGTTCCAAGGGTATTAGACATCATAGTTGCATGGTATGCAAACATCTCGCTCATGTGGTTCTACATTGAACCAAATAAAAAATAAAAGATACAAATTTTAGATCTGACAAGCAAATGAGGAAGTGCAATGGATTAAATAAAAAAGCCAACATGGTTATAAAATAGATTGACTTAAACCTTGAACACTTGACCAATGTTAGGTGGCATTTGACCACCTGGTATAGTAGCTTCTGTCCGCAATGCTACCGTGTGCATTACTTTCACAGCTTTTAGTGGGAACCTGCATTATAATAAATTAAATAAATCTTTTTGGCTGCATAATAAAAACATTCAAATGCATGATTTTTACAGTATCAACCATGCCCCTGCTTCTGTACAAACATTAGAAACATTGCCATTTAAGCCCAGATTTGGCCACAAGGTCATATACATGCTACTATTAAAATAGTGACTTAAAATTATTACTTGAGCATGTAAACTCAGTAACCCAAACACAACACTTTATTCTTATACGATCAACTATTCTTCTTTTTATACTTCTAGTGTTTAACTGAATTATAAACAAGAAAGTATGAGTGTGATTTTTATTTTGTCTTTTTGGGGTTGAGAGAGGTGAGAGAAGGAAAAATAAAAAATAAAAAAGTTTGAACTGAGGCAAAATGTAGTAATTGGACACTTGGGGGCAGGAAAACTATTTACTTACTTCCCATGAGCTGTTTCTCCCGACAACATTATAGCATCAAGCCGTTCTGGAAACTTTCTGTTGCCTATAAATAGATAGCTTGGGCACAGTTTTCAGGGCTGTTAAGATAATTCTGTTTAGATATACTAGTTTATCTTCTCCTAAGTTATCCTTAGTCAGTTTTATCTAAATCCCTAAACTTTAGGGATTGATTATATTTTATGCCTATTTATTTTATTGTACTCATTCAGATTCAGAATAAGAAATTATTCATATTCAAGTAGGACTCCCAAATTTCGTCCAAAACTCCTTAGAGCTCGAAATTTCTCTCTCTTTCTCTCCTATTGTATTTCTTGAGTTTTGTAAGGCTTATTGTAATGTGAAAGGTTGCCACAAAGCACCTAAATTTCCATATTGGAAGATTCAATAAAGCTCGTTCAAGAGGTATTTCAGTCAATCTTCTTCTCTCTCTTTTATTTCTTATCTCTTTCTTTTATTTCTTATCTTTGATAACCATCTAGGATGGTCAAGCTAAGCTAACCATGGTTCTCTTGAACCATAGTTAGCCTAGCTTGCACCATAAGTTTCTCCCACCATATATAAACCTTTTTCTTACCTTTGTAATCACTTTTTGATATATGTGAGAGTGAATTCCAAAATTTTTCAGCAATTTTCTCTCTTATAAAAGTCTCAACCTCTTTGATATTCATCCAATCCTCTTATCCTTTTCATAGAAGAGTGTGGTGAGGATTGAAGGGGCTTATCTTTCCTCTAAGGAATGATGCCTCTTGAAGGGTGTTCTTCACCAACCGTGGTGATTCCAAGGTTTCTCCTTCCATTGGGAGCCTTGGAGAAGCTTGAGAAGAATCAAGGAGCCAAAGATCTAGGGAGAAACTTGAAGAGGAATGAACATCAATCCGGTTCTTCAACAAGTTTTCCATCACTGCCACATCGGATTAACACTTGACTCGGCCAAAACCATGGACACATCCATGTGAATGAGTCTTCAGTACAGTCTTCCATCTCATCTTTCCATGCCATGGCGTACTTCCTTGGTGCAGGAATTCTTGGAAAACTTCTTAATGGATTGGGTAGCTTTTCCATATGGTTCTTGGCGAAGAAATGAGTATATGCCCACACATAAAGGAGTGAGTTGCAACATATCATTTGTTTCCCTGATTTCTGGTTACAGAAGTTGATTGTGATAAGAATATCAGCAAGGATGATGGGTACAGGGCTTTTCGAGTGTGCGTCCCAAGCATAGAAAGCGTCAATTGCAGCGTGATCTACCACCCTCTCATGAAAAGGAAAGAAGATCATTCCAAACAATATTAAGGCTAGGTCTTGTTGAAAGTCATTCAATTCCCTTGATGAGTTAGAAAGGAAAGATGTTCTTCCAAAGTGGAGAGCTTCCAACATTTGACCGCCCTATTGCCTTCCAGAATGGATATGTGAGGAGGTAGTCCAATTAACTCAACTACTTTACGTGAGGATATACTTCCTTAAGAGTGGGCACTATGTCAAAATATGGGAATCAGAAGCAACAAAACTTCGGTCTCCAGAAGTGTACCTGTCGCAACCCGAAAATTTCCGATCTCGCAACTAATGGTTTAGACATCCTTTTAAAAGTCTCATCAATTAAGGAATGCCCGGACACCAGACTAATCCTTAATTAATGGTTTTAAAAAAATGAGTTCATGGAGTCGCCACCAATGTTTTACTCAAAACATTGGAAAAAGAAAAGATTTTTTAAAATCCAATAATGGCCTTGATAACCAGAATTGGGTTCGGGGGTCGGTT